CTCTTCTTTTATTTTATTTCCTTTTTTTTTTTGTCTTTGTTTTTCACTTCGTTTTCTTGTTTTTGTTTCTTTCCTATTTGTGAAACGTAAGCGATGATTATCATCTTTCTATCGTATGCGCTGATACAACACATCAATAGACATGTGCGCGTATTTTTTTTATGAAATTGGGTTCTTTACCAAAGAAAAATAGAATAAGAACTATGCGATTCTATTATGGGAAAACAACAACAACTCATTTCGTATACAATTTGTGCTATTGATGTAATTCTCTACAGCTTTCCTAAATATATATGTACATATGTGTATAAAAAAGCATATACATACATATGTATGGTATATTCAACTATACACATATTGATTGAGATATATTAATGTCCATTTATAATACCATGGAACCAAGAAAATACTATAAAAAAAAGCTAAGCAACACAAACTAAACGTTTGCATTTTCCTTCTTTTTTGTGTCGTTAGATTAAAGATTGCCCATTTATTATTATAATATCTAAATGTTGTTATTTTCTTTGGTCTTTTTACTGTAGAATTTTTTACTTAATTTTTTTCTATACATCATAGTTTTGTATGTAATCTGCTTAATTCTTAACGGAAGTTAATCAATATTGCTAGGGAATCTTGGGAGTGCGGAACTTTGTTCGAATATGAAAAACTAGAAAGTAATTGTAACTTTTTAGAAAGAATCAATTCACGAACTCACAGTTTATGAAATCAGGAAATTCTAGAGCCTGTTTAACCTGAAGTAGATCTGGTAGACCTAATAGATCCCTCGGATTTGACATTACGAAGTCCAATTCTTATAGTCATGTAAAAGTCAAACTGATATAAAATCAAGCAATAGAATGTTTGATGATAGATACATAATGCAAATCGATATTAGAGAGTATTGTAGAAAGTAAAAACAAAAAAATATAGATAAATCGAGAGACGATTTTCCTATAACGCGTGCTCTTGACAGCGGAATTCGAGCTTTGCACAGTTTTTATCAATTTAAAAATTATATTCTTGAAGCAGTCGTAATTATAAACTCTTTTATCTCTTATTATTTATATATGTATAAATCTGATTCATTTAGTTAAAATAAGTATTTTGTGTTTTACTAAATAAAAATACAAAATCTTTGTATGTATGTGTTTCATATACCAAAAAAGCATCTTTTCTATGTCTGTATGTGTATGTGCATTTATTGAAATTGATATCAAAATTTCTAATGTATGTGTGGCATTTAAGTAAAATATACATATATATGTATGTATGTATTTTGAAAGCAAGCATAGCTTTTGCTCTGGGAACTAAATAGCATGCCCTTTGCTCGAACTACCAACTACACATTCACAGAGACAACGATAACGATAACGATTACGATAACGATACCAATTACACAATTATACACAACTAGCGAAAGACACGTGTACATGAACGTAACGGGACCAAATCTATCAAGAAGCAACAGAGGAGTTGCAGGAGGCGTAGGAAGAAGAATAGGCAGCAGCAGCAGTAGCCGCAGCAGAGAATGAAGAAGAGAGAAGAAAGAAACCACAACAAACTAAGTGAACTGCGGCTCGGGGCAAAGTGGCGCTCAGTTCGTTTCCTTTTGTTTGTTGAGTGCCATCAAAGAGACATTTTGACATTTGCTTGCCACACCACACACACACACACGCACACGCACACACAGACCAGTCATGTAACGTGTGTGTGTGCTCCATTTCGGCTGCTGTTTTGCGTTTACCAACACTGCGCACACGTACTTAGCAGCAAAAATACAAGCGAGTGCACAGCATATACATAGTTAGTTATCGTTTTATTTGCTCATCAGCTGCTCAGCTTCATTAGCTTACTAACATTCCCCTCCCTCTTGACGCCCACCCCTATAACCCATAACCCCATCACGCTTACTAAGCGGTATGCTGCAACCCCTACCCCCACCTGCCCCTGGTTAGACAGTACCACTCGAGCGCCCCTTGATGTGACACAGCCGGCAGCATTTAACAGTTGTGTAGCTCAGGTGCAGGTTGCGCCATTTTGCTTTTAACTTTGAGGTTAGGTTAACACTGATGTGGCATTTTGTGTGCTTGTGTGTTTGTGGCCATGTGTGTGTCTGTGTGTGTCTAACGGTTCACTCTTCAGGTAATGTAAGCATGTCCTCGTCTTAATCCAGTCAGTCATTTAGTTAGTTCGTTTTTTTTTTTTAATTAAGTCAATTTGCCAGTCACTTTGACAGTCACTTTGCCAGTCACTTTGCCAGTTGGTTTTAAAAGGGGTTAGGCCGACCGAACAACATTAACACTTTCATACCATAATGCATTTTTCAGCTTGTGCAGAGCTTTAACCTTATAACTAAACCTACTTACTTACTTACCAAAATACTATAAATCGTGTCATTGTATATTTTATAATTAAATATTTCTATATATATATACGTATATATTCGTACCCGATTATCCTATTCTATTCAGGACTTGTTTCCTTTCTACTATTTTTTTTTGGTTGTATGTTCTTCTTCTTTTTGTGTTTTCTCATATTTGTTCTTCATTCGTGAATTAATTTGATAATTATGTAATATACTATAGTTTATGATTCTTTGTTGGATTTGTGTAATACTTACTTATTATGTGTATATTTTTCAACAAACAAATTGTTCTAAAAACCAAAAAAAAAAAAAAAAAACCAACCAAAATATGTTATAATTTTTTGAAATAATCGAAAGAAACAATTCTATAAACAAATATTTGTGCCATTTGTTATTTGTTTTTCTTTTCGATAATGACAACTACCAACAAAAATAAAAAAAAAGAAAATGTTCACATAATTTCACATCTGTTTATTTGTTTACTCCACTTCTCACCCTACTTCTGTATCCACAAATTGCAAAATGAAATTTAATCTGAAAAAAAAAAACAAACAAAAAATTATTCTTTATCAACTTGAATACGCATATGCATCCGAATACCGAATACTGAATATACCGATACCGATTTAAAAAAAAAAATACCGATTACTGAATACCGATATATATATATGATATATGATATACTCGCAATGCCAAAAACCATTCGATTTAAAATCGAACTAAAAAAAACCACAACAACAACAACAAAATATAAATTATCAAACGCATATTATCGATATGTATGTCTCTAAATATATATATATATATGTGAATATATATCCATATATATGCATGTTTGTATGTATGCTACCAACTGAACTGCACCCCGAAACCGATAACGATACATAATCGATAACTGAATCGAATTTGAAAACGTTTAAAATCGAAAAAAACAAACAAACAAACAAACAAAAAATATGAAAACTTGAAATGTTGAAACCGAAGGTTCCACGATGAGGAGCACGCGAATTTGCTAAACACCATGTGGCTAACGGCCATCACATTTCTGTGTGTCGGTTATGGCGACATTGTGCCGAACACATACTGTGGACGCGGTATAACGCTCACCTGCGGCATGGTGGTAAGTATACAACTAGAAAAACAAGAAAAAAAAAAACAAACAGAAAATCTATTTAACTATATGAAACCAAAAAAAAAAAAAAAAAGAAACAAACCAAAAAAAATTATAACAAAATCAAAATACCAGAACCAATAAACAGAACAGTTAACAGTACAAATAACAGCAACAGTTAACAGTATGAGTTAACAGCGACCGTTAACAGCGACAGTAGCCGAACAGACAATGTTGCCAATGCAAATGTTAACATATGTAATGATTGTGACATAACATAAACAAGTAATACAGCTACGACAACAACAACAACAACAACATATACAAGTACGCTACGTATACGTTACGTTACGTTACACATGCATACAATATTTCATACAAAAAAAAAGCAGAAAAATAAGCAAATATTCGAGTCGACAGAAAATAACTATTCAAAACACAGCAATGCTTATATTAGGCAACACACATACGTGCACACACACATAAGTGCTTTTGACTGTGTGTGTGTGTGTGTGTGTATTGGCAATATGCCAAAAGCAGGAATCGGCGCGCGTTTTTAGCTGATTAGGTTAGGTTTGTTTTTTTTTTGTTTTTTTGCAGGGCATTGCGCGCGTTTAGTTCATTCCATATAACTATCTTTATACGCATATGTAAATACATATATATATATGATAACAGGCAAGATTCTGTTGTAAATCATCAGGCAGCCACAACACCAACAACAATGACACCAACAACACCCGCAGAAAACCACCAACAGCAACAATTCATGCATAAATCGTATTTTGTGTGTTTCGCTGTAATACAAAACATATTCATGCATTTCTTCTGTATTATCGTGCATACATCTATGTATATACATATACAATCGCAAAGCACATATACACAGACACACACACACACAAGCACAACCACACACACAAATGCACACACACATTCGCATAAACATTCATATGTATATAAGTATATTCATCACTATTTCGTTAAACAACTACGTCTCTGATTATGTGTGTGCGTGTACTATTTGTGTATGTGTGTGTGTGTGTGTGTGTGTGTGTGTGTGTGAGCAACCGCTAACCGAGCCAGACTTTTGTTTTGTAACAATTGTAAGTTTCCCTTACCACAAACAGGCAACAAATCCTTGTTGACAGCTCATTTATGTGTATGTATATAAAGCCTACGTGTATGTGTTTGTGTATGTGTATGTGTGTGTGTGTGGGTGTATGTGTTTGTGTGTGTGTGTGTGTGTGTGCGTATGTGCTATTTGTGTGTATATATGCGTGTGCAAAACTATGTCCAATTTAAATAGTCACCTTCAAGTTTGTTTTGCACCAGTAAAAACTCTTCTAACCAAAATAAAATTAAACAAAGAAGAAAAAAAGAAAAAAAAACTAAGAACTAACAAACTCTTAACTTCAACGACGCATTTCACTCGGTTTACGTCGCTGTCCTTTCTCCAGAAAGAAAGCCTCTCTACTTGCATACTCTTACCTAACCTTACTTGAATATCCACCTGTTTGTGTGTGTTCACGGTTCCTAAACAAATGATTCAATAAATTAAGAAGAAAACTCTCTTTCTCTCTCGATCTTTCAAGTTGCATTTTTTTTGAAACATTTTCTAAGTATATTTTATGCCTGTCATCAGTTCAACTTCAACTAACTCTGAGTTTTGCTATATTATTTCAATTATTTATGTTTTTTTGCTTTCGATTTGTTTGTTAAATTCCTTCTTTTTATTTTGTGTTTATTCTAAGCTTGTTGTGTTCGATAGTTAAACTTAACTATTGTGTTTATGTTCTCTGGTTTCTTGTTTGTTATATACAAAAAAATAGTATAGTATATTTTTTTTATATATATTTTTTAATACATCAATATATTGTTATATACATATATTTTTTATATTTTTAATGTGTGTTCGTTTTTGTGTATATTAAGCCAAAACAATACGATATTTTTCTCTATCTCTCTTTCCCTTTCATTTAATACTGAATAATACGCTCTGCGTGCTCGTGTACTCGTAATAAATACGTGTGTATTTTTTGCCCCTGAACAATACGAAAACGCGGTTCTAAATGCGTTTGCAATTTACAAAATATATAAATATTTCAAAACAAAAAAAAAATACCGAAATATACCGACAAACACCAAAAATATACCGAAAAATAAATTATCGAACAAAAATATCGATAAATTCACATAATGGATACATAAATGCAACAGATTTCATGATGAAGAGCATGCGAATCTTTTAAATGCAATGTGGCTGATAGCGATAACATTTTTGAGTGTTGGTTTCGGTGATATTGTTCCGAATACGTACTGTGGACGTGGTATCGCTGTCAGTACAGGAATAATGGTGAGTTTTTAACTACAAATCAAAAACAAATTACAAAAAAAAAACCAAAAAAAAAAAACCAAAACATTCAAAACACATTTTACAAAAGAACTTAAATAAAATAGAAGAAAGAAAAAAAGGAAACAAAATGTCCAACTGCACACACACATCCAAATCAATTCAAAATCAATTCAATTAACTGTTTCTAACCGAACATATTTACTTTCATTTCAACTCGATACAGGCTTGAAATTCATATGTAAATAATTACATTTATCGCATTATCAACAAAATGAACCCAACGATTAATCAATGCTCAAAACACTAAAGCTCGCAATGTAATATCCCGCCCTCTAGTTTAGTATACAACCTATTTAAGTACTTACATCATGTACTTTGTCGAATACAACCACATACATACCAAATACATAGTACATCAGTACATCATACGAATTGGGCTCTACAGAACGGAGCGAATTCATCAAGTGTCCATCAGTCCGTACACACTTTATTTTCAACTCATTTGTCACGTACGACGATGGCGCGCCTGGAAGTAGGCAACACACGAATAATATGCATGTCGATTGTTGGACATTTATCGTATATCGATATGTGATCGTCTCGGAGCTGATTTGCAGATCTTTAAGCACACCCACACACACGCCTCTTCTGCTAATGCTTTAGCTCTCTCTCTCTCTCTCTCTCTCTTTCGTTCTCTCTTTTACAATGTCTCTCTCTCACTCACTCTCTCTCTCTCTCTCTCTCTGTCTCTTTCCCTCACTCTAGCTCACACTTAACCTATGCTCGATTCAATTTCTTGCCTCTTCTTTACTTCCTTTCCTCTTACTCTATGGAACTCTAACTCTTTCCATATATATTTAAGTCTCTCTGACTACCTTTTTACATGCATATTGAACATGTCGTAGTCCTTGAATTGAAATTGTCATACAAAAAAAATACCAATAACTCAACTAAATACCAAAATACTTAATAATACTAAAAACTAACCTCTGAATTGTGTTTATCATTTTCCAACTTTGTTCTCTAGACTTATCGTTACGTATGTGTGTACTAAACAAATTCCCAGCTCTAACTGTTGTAATACCTAGACAATTCGTACAACTTGAGATCGTATTCTGATTCTGATTCTGATTCTGATTCTGATTCTGATTCTGATTTACATAATTCCTATTACCCAACAAACTCTTCTTGCCACGTAATGATACTAATAATGATTATAATAACAATAACTGCATATTGGCATTACAAAATAAACATATTTCCAACTAATGTGCGATAGCATTTGGAGTAAGCCATTCATTCATTGCACTCACTCAGTCATTCATACAACCAACTACTCATTGATTCACATCTCGCTCATAAAAAATAAAAATGAGAAACGAACAACAAATATCTTAGGCGAGGTGACAGGACTATAAAAAATTACTAAAGAAAACCTAAAAGAGAAAAAAAAAGAAAAAAAGAAACAAAAAAGTAGATATAAATAACATAATATTGAAAGCAACAAGTTCTGGACTTAAAACAATCATTTGAATGAATAATCCACATCAATTAACTGGCATTATAATAAAATCCAAAGAAAAAAAAAAGAAAAGAAATAATAAGAACACGCTACTAAATGATTGATCAATCATAATTGATTGCACGAGCATGCCACAAATGCAACAGGGTCCACTCTGTATGCATTTGTGTTAGCCGCCGTGCATTCAATCTCTCTTCACCCAGCTGCTATCTTATGGCTAATGTCGCATCTATTATCGTTTACAGGGTGCTGGCTGTACAGCGCTACTCGTGGCTGTGGTATCCCGCAAGCTGGAGCTGACCCGTGCCGAGAAGCATGTGCACAACTTCATGATGGACACGCAGTTAACAAAAAGGGTATAGATCGTCTCCATAGCTGCACCCGAAATAGCCAGCAAGCTCTATAGAGTACAGTTACACACATACACCTAATCTCAAATTACGTAACACACATAACCTCAAATGACGTACTCAAGACGTAACAAACCTCGAGCCCAAAACTCGAACTCAACTCGAACAAAAACGTTACAGTACTTACATTTTCAGCCCGACAGGCTCAAGTTCTTACGATTACTGGAATACGTATTACCGATCTATTTAAGCAACCAATTTATTCGTTTTTCATTTTCTTGCAATTTGCTGACCGACACGCATTTCAATTGTACGTCTTCTACATTGTAAAGCTCGATTTGGTATTGATACTCGTCTCATTTAGCGTATACTCGTTTAATACTCAGTACTCGTAGAATACAATTGTGTTACTGTCCCACAACAAATGCCACAACAACTCTAATAACTTTGTATTCATTTCTTCTCATAAAAATTTAGCTGAAAAATGCTGCGGCGAATGTTCTTCGTGAAACTTGGCTCATTTACAAACATACAAGACTAGTAAAACGGGTTAATCCCGGCCGTGTAAGAACCCACCAAAGAAAGTTCCTTCTAGCTATATATGCGTGAGTATTTTTAGAGATCTATCAACATCAACTAACTGTCAGAACCACCAAAAAGTTACGAAATCCCCCAAAAAACAACCAAAAAAAAAACCAAATAAGTATACATATATATATGCATATCTATACATATATATACATAAACAAATTTAACTGAAACTAAATCTGAATTTAATAAACGAAGAGAAAAAGAGATCAAGCAATAACATATATCGTATACATTTATATAGTTATATAGCTTTACAGTTAATAGATCTGTTGTACAATGCAACCATGTAGCCTGAACGAATACCCAAGTAAAGCTTTCAAAATGAACAACTTAGAACGTGTGAAGCCAACCGAAGAGAAACCATTCATAAAATCACATTTAAAAAACTTTTGTTTTACGTTCTTGTCTTTTGTCCTGTCCACACATGTGCGTCTATTCATAAAAACAAACTATATAAAAAAAAAAATATTTAAAAACAACAAAACGTGCCCAAAGCTACTTCAATGTGAGCGTCCGTGTGTGTGTGTGCGTGTGTGTGTGTGTATACGTCTGTGTGTTGCATCTGTGTGTGTATGTGGCACAACTTGTCAGCTGTCTTTAGCATATCACGCAATCACGCAAGACCCAATGAAGAGTCTCTAAGCACTCATACGAGCCCGCTTTCTTAGCTTTATCGCCGAGCAGACAGTTTGGCGATACCTGTTGCCAGACAAACGCTTGCCACTACTTCACAAGTGACGCAGAAATACTCCCTTTCATCAGGCACGTTACGAAAGCGATAAGAAGGCGATAATATAGCCAATTGGCAGCACCTACTAGCAATATGCTTATCTTCTGCATCATGCAGAGCACACATCCAGGCACGGGCATGTTCAGGATTCCAAATACGTCTGAAGAGTTCCCAACTAATGTAAAGGCAACAAAAATCCAACTTATACCAAGGGCCGTATTTTATCTCAATCAAGTTTTTATATCAAAACTACAACTTTATATCTTAACGTACAATTCATTATCTCCTTTTTTCAAAAAAGAGTTGCTCAAATCTTTAAAATAGCTCTCAAAAGTTCTTAAAACAAATCGTTTCAAAGATCCTCCTAAAAAGAAAAGCAGACCTACCCTCCCCAAAAAGTATGCTATATTAATTCTTGTGAACTATCAACACATCCTTCAGCTTGTTTTTAGTTTACGTAATCCCAATATCTCCAGCTTTTTCGCATAGTAGCTTAACAAGAAATCAATAATTAAACAATTGTAATGCTTAGCACCGTAACAGATTGGGGTCTATAAATGTGAATGTGAAGAGTCTGCTTATACTACTAAATGTACATAGCATTATCGAACTAACAATGAATATCAATACAATAATCAATAAGTGCAATAACAAATTACAAATTAACAAAAAAAAAGAAAAAAAAATCAACATAATTAAATGATTGAACTCGTTTTACTAGCCTGTAAATAGGTTGTAAAGCCCTGTTTTTACGTTTTGATAATACCGAAAACTAGCCACAAATACCTAGCATGCAGCGTTAATTTTCCAGAAATTCATATCTTAAAGTATCAGCAGCTTTTGCAACATGGACCTAACCTCGACTACACTGTATAAACAAAAACTTTAGTAACTGAAGCATCATTACAATTAAAACTATTATTATCATTATCATTATCATTATAATTAAAACTATTATTATCGTTATCATTATCATTATCATTATCATTATCATTATCATTATCATTATCATTATCATTATCATTATCATTATCATTATCATTATCATTATCATTATCATTATCATTATCATTATCATTATCATTATCATTATCATTATCATTATCATTATCATTATCATTATCATTATCATTATCATTATCATTATCATTATCATTATCATTATCATTATCATTATCATTATCATTATCATTATCATTATCATTATCATTATCATTATCATTATCATTATCATTATCATTATCATTATCATTATCATTATCATTATCATTATCATTATCATTATCATTATCATTATCATTATCATTATCATTATCATTATCATTATCATTATCATTATCATTATCATTATCATTATCATTATCATTGTCATTGTCATTGTCATTGTCATTGTCATTGTCATTGTCATTGTCATTGTCATTGTCATTGTCATTGTCATTGTCATTGTCATTGTCATTGTCATTGTCATTGTCATTGTCATTGTCATTGTCATTGTCATTGTCATTGTCATTGTCATTGTCATTGTCATTGTCATTGTCATTGTCATTGTCATTGTCATTGTCATTATCATTGGAAAAGGCTTGGTACACACTGTAACGCTAATCGGGCGAGCTTTTTGTCGTCACTGTTGAAGCTTTGGGAGCTTTTAAAACTCCTCCTTGCTGAACACAAGCTTTAAGTCATTTCATACTTAATTTTAGTGTAGCTCAAGTAAATTAGTTTGTAACCTGGTTTTTCACAGTTTTATGTAACACACACAAGATTCGAAGAAAAGTTAATTTGGAAAAATAAAGCTACATTTTTCTGATGATATTTTTTGATACGATTTTCTGCAATCTTAACGCTAAACCAAAAGCAAATATAAATAAAAAAAAAGAAAAAGTAACACTTATAACGGCACAATCAATTCTAACACACACTCACAACTTTTTCAGAAAACAATTTGTTTTTCGTATTTTCTCACATCAAAATTGTTTTCATAAATCTATAATATTGACCCATATTGGGCCTGTGGTCCGTCTAATGAAAAGAATAAGAAATGCTATAGCTGCACAGCTGAGTCTTACACTTTCAGGCAGAAGCTTGGTTCCATCAAGTTGCGCAAAATTGTAATACTCAGAGCAGTTCATGGTTCTATAGAAATATCTCTATGATAAAAGATAAAAGTATAAAAAAAAGAAGAAAAATAAATTTGTGTTTAACACGTGCTACACAATTTCAATAACATTGTTTATAAACTTGATGATTCTTCCCACCTGCCACTAGGTTGCGAAAAGTTAAAATGGATCAACGCAAACTAATGGATAATGCAAACACAATAACCGATATGGCCAAGGTAGCTAACAATCCATAATTTCTATAGAAATGCCAAGCTCAGCATTCGACTCTAATTGAATTCGTGTCCAATTCTTTCACAGACACAAAACACGGTCTATGAAATAATATCGGAAATGTCTAGCCGTCAGGATGCCATCGAGGAGCGTCTAACAAATCTAGAGGATAAAATGCAGAGTCTACAAGTAAGCAATCGCCAGATAGGCACGTTAACGACAATCGATAACATTTTCAATGCCACCCTCGATAGGAGCACATGGAAAGCCTTCCAGATCTATTATCTCGCTGCCTGACACAGCATCAGGAGCGCATCGAGCAACGACGCAACTTTCTTCATCCTGATACAGCCGCCGCTGCCATACAGCCCGTACAACCGGCCACGCCCCAATCCATGTTCAATGCGGCGCCCATGCTGTTCCCCCATTCTAGGTAAGTGCTGTGGGCAGCCAATTTCAAATCGGCTTTTGCTATAGCAATTGCATCATCGTCATTATCATCATCGTCATCACCATCATCATCATCATCAGCAGCAGCAGCAGCATCATCATCATCATCATTATCATCATCAGATCATTATCCACTAGACATACATATCATTCCCATTGACTGCTATTATAGTTGAATTCCACTGAATATCATACTGAATGACGACGTTTTTGAATAATTAACTGGAATTTTAAATAGAAACATAATGCTAAATTCATTCAAATTTTATTAAAAGCCTGTGAACCGAGTCAGTCCTTTTGTATCCGTAATTAACGGAGCTATTTTCATAAGGTTCACGAAGCGAAACGTGAACTGAACCATTCGCTAATATTTCTGCTCATGCAGCCCTGATAAAAAAAAACTCCATTGTTATCGATATATAACGTTATCAACTGACTACCACACCGACGCTCGCAGTTTAAGCGTTGCCACCATTCTGAATAACTTGTGCAGTGGAATTCAGCCATCGAATCATTTGTGTGTATGCTTGTATATGTGCTACTTTGTTAAGACCCAGTAGTTAAGACACCCCCCGTCCCCCACAAAAAAAAAAAGGAAAAAACCAAATTGCAAGACCCGTTATTACAATTTGTGGCATTTTCTTCTATGCAAGATTCATGTGATTATTTTTGATGAAAAGAGTGTCTGTGAGTACTATCAATTTGCATTTGGTAATTTAAAGGCAAAAAAAAAAAAAAAAAAATTAAATAAAAACAAGTCGCGAGTGAATTATTGGTTTAAAATGCATTCCATGGCTTTTATCTCATATCATAAGTATATATCTATAGATATTTTGGCATATTGATCGAGCTCACACACATAAATCCATATGACAAAACATAATTATGATAATTATTCAAAAAAAAAAAAAAATATGATAAAAAGAACAATTGACTTGCTTAACTGTAATAAGTTTTGGTCGCAAAATGAATCTAATTGAGAATATTAACATACTGCTTTTTGCATAGAAGTGTACCCTCATCCAATAACGCCGCTGCTACTTACCATTGGCCAACAAGCCCTATTTTGCCACCTATATCTAGTAGAACACCACATTTAGTGCCTGATACTCACATGCCATCAAATGGATCTGCAGTTAATAGCTACGCATCTTCCAACAAATACGGCAGCTGAATATCAGAAAGAGAGCGCTCCAACTCCGTGATTAACATCGAGATGCATATATTAAAGCCAGCTAGAGCAACTACGTCAACAATATCATCCACATCAGCAACAACATTTACGTCAATACCAATGCCCATGTCAAAGTCCATGTCACCAACTCTGATGGAGACAGCGCTAAGGCAGCGTCTGCATTCGCCATCGTTGTCCGTCGAACCGGAACAGCTCTTCGAACTGAGCCATTATCAACAGACATATTCGCATTCACAGCAGCATTCGTATCCGCATCAGCGCACCCTGGAGAGCATCAGCATACCAGCCATACCGGAGGATGTCGAGACCATTACCAATGCGAACAGCAAAGGTTCACCCGATCCAAGTGCGCAGCCGCAGCCCACTCACGCGGGCAACAGCGGTGGCAACGCTGGCATCTCCATAGAGATGGCAGCAGATATATCGATAACAACACAAATCGATAGCGATGCCAGAACGAATGCAACGACGACGACGACGACGACGACGACGAATGTCACATCGATTGCCACAAAGATCACTGAGAATAAGTTTACTAGGAAAAGAGAACGTGTATGCAATAATAGTAGTAATAGTAATAATAATACAAATAATAGTAATATTAGTAATTCTACAAGTCGAATTTCGAACTCGGCCTTTTGTAAATAAGCCTCTTCGAAATTAGAAAAACAAAAGTCAAACGTTAGCATATACAAGCATATATATCTATATGTGTATATATATATATATACATGTATACATATATATAGTATATATATATATATATATTCATATAGGATAGGTGTACTTTTTTTTTTAAGCCTAGGATATTATTGGTATTTTCACAATAGTATCTAGTAATTGAATTAAATTACATAGCATAGCATTACCATTATAAGTGTGACTTGCAACCTGATGAATGATGAACTCAATAGACCCCAACCCCTCCCAATTCAATATAAAAGAAGAAATGTATATAGGATTCCACATTCATGACAAAACGTAACAGTTAATACCATAGCAAAAAGTTTGAATTCTGGTATCATTATTAGCGAAATTCCCCAAAAATAGCAAGTCTACAAATCTCTAATAAAAGAAAAAAAAATAACAAAAAAAAAAAACAATAATAATAGTAATAATATCAGTTAAAAGTCTAAGTAATTGTTCAGATTATAAATCAGAAAACAGGCATATTAGTAAGAAGTATTGTGTATGCTTCTTCAACAATATCAACAGCAAAATCCATGTACGTTCCTCTGTTCGACTATAAGTGCTAGAATCAGCAGATTTTCTTATATAGGCTCTACTATATCCCTATAGTTATAGGGTATATCAAACAAATTTGATATGCCGCCATTACACCCCCAAAAATCCATAGGAAAAAGAAAACAAAATCAAGTAAAATAAAATCCACAGTTAAGCATATGATATGTCAACTTATTTACACTTAGTGCAGAACTTAACCATAGATTTTTGGTTTGCAGACACTCGGTTATATCAGCCCTATATACTTATAAACATAGTCCCAAAAGTCCTTAGAGTATATATGTGTGTATGTGTGTGTTTTTGTGTATGTGTGTGGTTGTATTCTGGTGCATAAAAGTAACTTAATGAAGATGTTAATATGAGTATTCAAATTGTTCTATGTATTACGAACATAAGAGAAATTCGTCTAAGTTCAACTAAAAATATTGCTGGTTATGAAAAAAACCAAAAAAAAAAAAACAAAAACGAAAACATAACAAAATAAATGTACCACATATACATACATACTATTAAATAATAGCCCTGGCTTTAACGAACAACATTTTTTAAGAACAAAAAAATATCCCTAAAGGGAGTTGAACATTTTAAGCCCCCAAGTAACTAAAAACCCAAAGAATTATGAACTCAATTAAGAACCTGACTAGCTTTTGAGAGAGGTACGAGATACAGAATATTCAAGTAACTTAAGTAAGCCCTTCAAGAACAATTTTAATTGAATTTTGTAATATATGTATTTAAAGAAACGAAAAACAAAACTAATTCAATTTAATATACAAATTAGATGTAATGTAACAAGTGGAAAAAAAATGCCCGAAAAAAGTGGAGAAAAAATACTAAGTAAAAAAAAAATACTGTAGTTATAGCAGAGTGGCCGAGCTACGTAAGTTTTCTAAAGATTCTAAAAGGAAATGCATAGACATACTATAAAGTATTAACTGAGAGCATCGAAGTTAATTTTTTTTTTTAATAGGTATATGAACTAAGAAGTAAAATAAGAAAAATCTAAAAAAAAAAATTTAAGAAAATACGCATAATTACAAACTGCTTTTAGGCAAGTCGCAAATAAAATAAAAAAACAGCAAAAAAAAAACCATCAGAAAAAGAGTTCAACAAGTTTTACAACTGAATTCCCCAAACGAACATGCCAAGTTGCCGCCGCAAGACCAGGGAACCAGAAAAGGATCAAAAAACCAACTAAGTAGTAAATTGCAACTAACTATTCAATATACATTTTTCGAAGCCCCCACTAGAAAACCATGTCCCAAATCGCTGCAATAGAGATGCGTCAATTAGTCCCCAACATTTTGTTCAATTTACAACATTCCAATTAGTTTCCAATTCGATATTCGCCATTTGTTGCAATGAATTGGTATTTTAACATCTTATAGTAAACATTTAAAGTAATTTTACAGTTAAATTTGATTTTCTGCATTCAAATCCAATTTGTGTTTTAAATGTGCACATCTCTAAGTCTTTCTGAAAGCGATCTGGCAGCACCAAAAAGCTGAATGAGTATGCGTTAAGTTGGCTGCGTTGGAAACTATCGTAAATAACTGCATACAGAATGTATTGGATGCTCTTTTACAACAATTTGACACTTTGTAGCCATCATTTAGCAGTTAAATTGAATTGAACCTTAGCCAAACTCACACAATATTAAGCCCAACTGTAGGTTGACGTACGTGCATAAATAGCATATGCATACTACAAATTCTGAGCAAAAAATATTCTCATTTTGCAGTAAGTTCTACGATAAATTCATCAATGATTTGGAAATAAAGTGAAAAATACCTAGAAAATATTGAACAAACCCAAAAATGAAGTCTAATACGTTGAATAACGAAAAAGTGACGTAACAAAAGGAAAAGGAAAATGAGCCCTTAAACATGTATACCTATTTATATAATATTGAATATTTTAATTGAAATGAACGTTCAAGACTGCTGTCAAAATAGCTTTATCACAATAATAAACACACACACATACATACATCTAACGAACACTGTGGACAAGAAACACGAACTATGATAAAATACGAAAATAAAACTTAAATAACTATATTTAGAAAAAAGAAGAAAAACCAAAATGGTAAATATATGAAAAGACAAAGTACGCCCAGCTTTAATGGTTTTTACTATAATGCATCTTTGGGTTTCAACACTTCATCAAAACTACAAAAAGAACAGGAACATGAACAAACCGAACAAAACTAGAACAAGAAACATTTTTTCCCGTTTGAACTGGTTTCCTTGACACGATACCTAAAGACAAAATAAAACAACCAAAAAAACTTTGATATGAGGGACCGAAATTTAAAGACAGGTCTTAATTATACACAACAAAACTGAAATACCCTTTAACTGAAGCCTAAACGAATACCATATATACTACTATATTGAACAATGTACATGCTATGTATATATGTATGTATATGCCATGGCTGCTATCAATAGCAAACAACGCGCATCGGCCACGGTGCACAGTGGTGCACATGCATAAGAAGTATGGCCAAAATCAAATCGAAGCAAACTATTCAAAATCTTCAATAGGGTGACACTTTTATAGTTCTAAACATTTATAGAGCCGCACTTTTTCGGCAGTTTTTTAAGAAAAGAAAAACTCTTTTGTTTTCTTTTTTTTTATGATTTCCCAAGGCGCCCGGCCCACTGTGCACTGTCCACTCTTTCTGATGTATGTATTTGGGAAATTGTTCCATTTGTATAATATTTACATTGTATGTGTGTGTGTGTGTTCTTCTCAACAGCGAAACGTTATACTACGAAACACCTAAAGTATGGCACACCTTCAGTTCACATTTCCCGCAAATTGAGTTCTACACCGAACATATATGTAGCCCCAAGAAATCGAACAGACCGCAACAGATATAAACAAATTTTTTGTATATTTACACGCTGCTTCAGTTCATCAAGAAAAACGATGTTTAAGCTAAATTGAAATCCAGCCTACACGGCAAACGGCATACTTAGTATAGTAAAACTTACAGAAAGTAAAGATGAAAATAATAGAAAACAAGAAAATATGCATACAATATACATGTACAAGCAGTCGAACAACAACAACAACAAGAACAACAACATACTATATACTCTATATATATATATACATATATACTATATATACTATATATATATACATAAGATACAAGAGGAAACACTAAAAGATCATATTTGACTTTACATGTATTATAGTAATGTATTCAGTAGTTGAACATGAGCCGATGCAAAGACCAATTTATTAAGCATAAACAATTATGTTAAACTAAACAATAAAAGAATAAAATATATAAAAAAAACCAAAAAACAAAACTTAAATTAAATCAAACATGCGAAACAATTTTTTATTAAACCAAACACGAGCAAGTAATGTATTTAAAAACCAAATGAAAACTTTAACTAATTCAAAACTTAAACCCAAGAAAAACGAAAACAACAAAAACCAAAATTTATATGCTGAAAAATTAAACAAAAAAATTTAAATAAAACAAACACTATGTTAAACAAAAGAAGAGAAAATTATTAAAAAAAAAAGTTTCTAAAAGAAATGAATGCTAAAAATACAACAAAATAAAGAAATCAGAAGAAAAAACATGCGATGTAATTTACATACAATTCAGTGGCTATACAAATAGTTAATTTTTAATTAATGGTATTGTATATTTAAATTAATATTGTTATATATATATATATGTATATATATATATATATATATATATCTTATCGAGGAACCGTGTTTTGCAAAAGCTTTAAAATTTAGGGTGCCTACATTTGCTAAATTAGTATTTTACGACTTAAAAAGAGGAAGAGAAACCAACAACACAACAAGACAACACACTCAAACACACACACACACACACACTCACACACACACAGTAATAGATGACAACAATTACCGATTAAATGAAATTTTAAAATGTAGTCCTTAATCGCATAAAAAGATGTTTTGTCAAAACATAAAATAAACAATAACAACAACAACAACCACAAAAAATAATATAAAAAACTGATTAAAAAAATATCCGTTCGCGATTTTTCAAAATGTACACAAAATAAAACAAAAACAAACTTAAACAAAAAAAAAATTACTAAAAAATAAAAAGAAAAAAAAAAAAAAGCAAACAAAAAAAAATTGTATTTCGAGATATGAATTTTAAGAATGTTTATTAGATTTACGATTTGTTATTTTGTATACATATATATATGTATGTAGTATAAACTGATCTGATTTTTTTTTTGCTCATTAAGCATTTACCTCATAAGAATTCCCACTATTTATAGCAAATTTACCATTACATAAATCAATTGATGTACTGTTATAATGTACACACCCAAAGCAAACAAATGAACAACAACAACAACAAAAATTTATAAAAAATATTATAAATAATAATTAACACTAAATACAAACAAAGAAAACAAAAAAAAAAAATGGGAAGAAAAACTTAAGTAAAAATTGTAAATTATTAATTAATGAAGAAAAATTGAAAAATTTTAACATAATAAAGGGCTTTGTATGAAAAAAAGACAGGCATGCCTCTAATTTCGAATGAAATGTATTTTTGTTCCAGCTGTAAAGACGATAGATACACTGCAAAAAAAAACGGCACCAACTTTATGTTGACTATGGCTTGTCGCATAGAAAACTCGAATTCCCTTCAAATTTACTTAAAAATAAAACCACTTTTTAATTTGGACGTAACATTTGAATACCCCTTAAGCATACCCTTTAAAAAGAATATGTAACAGGCGGAAGTATATATATTCCTGATCATTATGATAGCAATCAAGTCTATTTAGCCATGTTCGTCTGTCTGAGCGCATGTATAAATTATAAAGTTGGCTATAGTACTTATTGGCCATCCAGCTTAAATTCAAATCAAGTTCCTTGGATTTCAAATCAACAATAAATCACAATCATCGATTCTCACAAAATCGATTAAAATCGATATCGGTAGACAGTTCTCTTTGTCTCGTAGCTAACCGAAGTTAACCAAGAAAGCATTTTTCTTGGTATGGTGCGAAGGCAAGGAGAAGCACAGTAACACAGTATCCCATTCACAAAGTCAGAATTCAGGCTGTACAGAAACAATTCTTGTTGTTTGCCCTTCGAGGATCAAGCTGGGAACCTCATGTGCGGTTGCCGTCACGCTCCAATAGAATTCTGACGATAAATCTTGCATACGGCTAATAAGTTGTAGTAGATTGCATCGGGATTCGCAAAAACGGGCTAAAATGTTTACAGGAACACCTTGACGCTGGGCTCAGGGTGTCTACCAGTCGATTACACCCGACAAGAGCTCTTCTATTTACCTAGATTTATTCCCTTTATTAATTAAGCAATCCAGGTTTTTTTCATTTTTCAAAACAATTTTATTATAATAGTTTTTAAATATAGTTTACAGTCAATAAAAATAATTTATACACTGGCAAAATTGAAACTTTTGACTATAACAAAAAAAAAAAATGTATATAAATTAGATACTACGCGATAATTGTAAAATTGTACACATTTTAAAAGATAAATAAGTCGAGAATGCTCGACTAGCAATGACCTGCAATCAATTTGATCAAAGGAAATATTCGTTTTTTTAGGTTTTCGTTTTTTGAAAGGGACAAGAAGAAGTTGTCCGCATGCTGGATCGTTTTTGAATTGATTTCGAATGATATTTATATTAACTTGTCCGCATGTTGGATCGTGTTTGAATTGATTTCGAATAATAGTGTTTGCGGCAACGGAT